CCCACACACTGTACATGACGTATAGCCAGCCCCCACCCCCAAACTCTTAAGTGCCAACGTGGCCGTCATCGTGACTACCACTAATGGTTCTAAGTTCTAACCCTCTAATGTCATCATCATGCGTACACAGTGGTAGCACACTCGCGCTAGTTCCAACACAAGAGCAGTCAGCAGACACCGTCAGCTCACACCGAGCAAAAAAGGTTTGTCGTCCCTAATGCATCACGACAATAACCGGATAGACGACGTGCCTGCCTGACACGAAGCACCTTAAAAGCCCACATCTCCCCCCACCCTTCACCCTCCCCCACCTCCCCGACGAGAGACCGGCACGACCACGAACATGCTGAAGTTGAAACCTATCGCCGAGTTAAAATTAGCCCGCACTGCACCGCAAGAGGAGCTTGAACCGACGCGGGCGGGGCAAAAACGTCTGCCGCTGGCCGCTACCACGAGTTATGATTACCATGGCGGCGCCCAGTCACTCATGCAGCCAGCCAACGCGGAGACGGACGCTACGGTGAACCAATGAACCAATATTTTAAGCGATATCTATGTCTTACCATGGAACATATATTATTCATTGTAAAATATCATCAATTTAAGTTTTATACTGCCTGATGACATCGTGTTTGCTAAAACTTCGCTAATTTTAATTGTAACGTTGTAAATACTAGTTTTGCAATAAACCTATTCCCCTCCGCCCCAGCCCCGCCCCAGCCCCTAATACCTCTAGGTCAATTTGTCCAGTCGGATAATGCGGTATGAGCAGCAACCCTATGGAGCCATCCCTCCGTGCCAGTTGGCAGCATTGTTCGCCTTTACTCTATCTTGCTATCTGTCTTGAGAAGCGGTGACGGGCGCTAGTCGTGTGCACACACGCTGTACAGGCGCACCTAGATACTCTACTTAGGTCGCTGCTAGTCTCCCTCGAAACTAGTCCATGGCATACATTTTGTTCTCGCCAGCAGCCGACATTTGAAGGATTTTCATTCGATCCCTTTGTGCAGGCGTCACATAGGCGTGCATATAGGGTACACGTACAGTCGACTAGCGAGAGAGAGAGACCGGGGTTCTAGAGTATTTTATAATGTCTTAGTGGTGGTATAAGGTGGTAGGTTATTTATTGTTTGATATTATGATATTATGTATACAATTTGAATTATTATTGTTGTTTTATTGATTGATTAATCGTGACGAAATAATGCAGCAGTAAGTTAATGAAACGCAAATAAATCTCTCGCGCAGTGCGTAAACTCGTGTACGGCGATATATAGGAAATAGCTGTGGCTAGATAACTAGCTAGCTGTAGCTAGATAACTAGCTAGCTGTGGCTAGATAACTAGTATAATAGTTGAGTCTTCCGGCTGGGCGAGGAGATCTCGCGAATAGGTTCGCTGTCCCATTTCTCCTTGCCCCAGTTCTCTGCTATCATGCTATCAGCGAACTGTGTCTGCCTCTTGGATGCACACACCCGTGCCACTCGCTCGAAGGCGCGTGACTGCTTCTCTCTCGCCCTAGACGACAAATATACAGTACCGATAACATTCTACGAATAACTAATCAGGCGTTTATGCAGCGGCGGCGGCGGCAGCAGCGATCGTTCGTTCGATCAGTGCCGAAATTTATAGGTCAATCGGCAACAGGCTCTTGAGTGTTGTGGTCGATGTGACCTGTGGCGTCTTGAGTACACCTCGGCAACGCTGTCTCTGACCGATGAGCTATCTGTCGTATGCATGCTCGTGCATGCGCTCTCCAACGAGCGCGTGGACATAAAAATGAATTTTGCACAGGGGAGAGATAGTGATCCGCTAGGGGACGGCTCTGATTGGCTAATTTTGTCTTATTTTAGAATTAGGGATAGAGTTAGGGTTAGGGTTAACTGATTTCTATATCCACAACTTATTTCTATATTCACTATCTCTCCCCCGAGACCTACTAAATAAAAATTATGCTAAAGTATGCATTCGCATCGATCGCGCCGGTGACCTGTTTGGTCTGTTTGACGCTGTGTGTGCTGGCATGGGTCCTGGTCGCACTGCGGCTCCGTGTGCTACTGCGATCTTTGTAATAGTAACTGCGTTTATATTATTAGTATGCAGCGATCAGTGGTCGGCGATCAGACACGATACATGCCACAACGATGTGGATTGCATGCCATTGCGGATCGAAAACACGGCGAGCGGTTGCTTACGCGTGCCGGTTGTCGTGGTTACGCGATGCTGAAAGCTGAGCTTTTCGCGCGTATTGAAGTTTCTCGATTTTTCTATGCACAATCCGGACTGTTTTCACTCTTTGCGCAGTCCTACATAGGTCATGAGCTCAATAACTGTACTAATAATTTGTTATATTGCTGCGAGTCCCTGCATTCATGAGCTGTGTGCTCGAAGGATTGTCAAGCTTGTTACGTAATTATTGCAGTTACATTCAAAGTTTTTGCTAGCGTTTAAGGTTAGAGACATGTCGTGACCCAGGATTATATAACGTGGGAGTCTCGTTGTGTTCAACTGTGAGAATTGTATAATATATTGATGGCATGTAGAACAGGCTAATTAATGGTTTGCATAATATGTGCAGCAAATTAATGACGTATTTATTTACGTAAAAAGTGGTAAGTAAATTTTAATTATTCATGTCTCGCAGGTGGTGTGTGTGTGTGTGTGTGTGTGTGTGTGAGTGTGCGCGTGCGTGCGTGCGTCTGTGCGTGTGCGTGCGTGCAAGCAAGCATGGGTGCAACTGTCTGTATAGTCGATGTGTATTACGCATGCATGAGTGCAGCAGGTGTTTGTAAATGAGACCCTGTATTGTGGTGGTGCGTCACCTGACAGTGACGCACACCTCTCTCCCTCTCTCCACCTCTCTCTTTCTTTCTCTTTCTTTCTCTCGCGCGCTCTCTCTCTCTCTCTCCCTCGCTCTCACTTCCTCTCACATAAGCGCATGTACAGGCGGAGCTACGCGCACGGCGCGCGCACACACCGCACCGCACCGCACCGCACACACACACACACACACATTCCCGCTCCCTCCTCTTCCTCTCTTCATCCTCTTTCTTTCGCTCCCTTCTTTTAATCTCTTAATTCCCCACTCACTTTCTCTACATGTCGTACTACTCTATGTCGTGCGTGTGATGTAGCCACGGCAACGTGCTATGTAATTAAATCGAAGCCACACAAATGTGTGCCTGGAATTACGTGCGTTGTCTTCATCGCATTTAAGCGCAAAATAGTTTTCAACGGCAACTGTCCACCAACGAGATACTAATGGAGGTTATACCACTGAAGTAGCTGGGCGCACTAACCTTTGACCTAATTCAATCCGATTTTCACCAATCGGAGCGTGCTGTTTTACAGCAGGCAGTGCTGTTGTCCTATTAGATCCTTGGCAACAGTTACTGAACGCATTTAGAATGAGAATTTCAAACAGTTTTCTCGACTGTTCTCGTATTTTTCAGACCATTACAATACTCTCTGGTATTGCTTACGTAACAGCAAATGTCTACACTAAGGGTAACATGTCTTAGAACACTCATACATAGTTAATGTCACGAAAATGGGCAACAGTTAAAATGTCTTTCTTGACTTGTTGTTGACGGTCGCGATTAAATGACGCCACTTGTTTCTCGCAAGGCGTGGTCCTTACGCTTTTGTTAATAAATAAGTGACCAGCCCACAACCACTAGGTCACTCAGTGAGATTTTTGTCTGGTGGTTGCCAATTACTAAGCAATTGTCACAACACAGAAGAATGCCACTGCGTTATTTGACATTTCATATATATGCCATTGTCCACATTTTTATTTTTCGATTTTCAACACGTATTTACGGCAAATCGAGAAAAATGGGAAACCCTGAAATATAGCCCATTACCAAGTAATTATCTAAGATGGCCATTTACGAGATGTTTAGATGGTACATGAGGGAGTTGAGCCTGGCGCACATTGCCGAACTTTTTCCCGAACAAATGTTTGTCCGAACAAATGTTTTTGTCTGGCAATGTGCGGGTTAACAATTGCTCAGCGCACATTGCCGAACATTTTGCAGCGAACAACCTCGTGGCGCCGTCTAGTAGCTGTATTGTAAAGAGTCACGTGATCGGTGTGTGGCCAATCGGCGTGATAGGCATTTACAAATGTTCCTAGGATTGTTCGACATTCAGCGCACATTGACATATCGAGATATCAAACATTTCCGATCTTCAGAAACATTGTTCGGAACAAATGTTCGGTGACTTTTTTCACCGCACATTGCCGAACATTTCATGGAACATTGCTACGATAATGTTTTTGAGCAAAATGTTCGGCAATGTGCGCCGGGCTGTTAATTAATTAATTAATTAGATGACAGGATAAGCGTCTACGCCAGGGTTGCATTTTAAATTGTCAGTGATGCCAGGTGGCACGCGACGCGACGAACTCCCAACGTGCCCCTGCCGGGTCCCGCTCTGGACCGGCTCTGTGCTGGGAGCAGCTACCGGTTGCTTGTGTTGACGTTTGGGACCGCGTGGCCTTGACAGCGACCGGGAACATGGTGGCCTACGGCGCGACCGCTGGTTCACCTCCCAGTCACAGCCAAGCGCATCCCGTGACTGGCGTATTTCTAGCCACGCGGGGTTTTCGGTGTTTGCCATTTTCGCCCGCCATTTTTTCCTGTGACCCAGATAACGCATAAATAGCATAACGCGTGAGCCGGCATTTCCAGTTGTGTTCGCCGAATGTAGCCACCGCATCACAGCTTGGCCGCGTGCACTCTCGGAGCTGTAGCAGCCTCCACCGGCATTTGCAGGCGCGACACCCACCGGTGCTGCTTAGTAGGGACTGCTATCTACCTGTGTGTCGTTCGTGTGTTCATGAACGTAGCGTTCGCTGGTCGTTGTCCCGGTGTCTGCCGGTATACTGTGTAGTGTAAAGAGAGATAGAGAGAGAGAGAGCGGCCCTGGTTTTTGGCTTCGGAAGATACATCGATCGGACAGACTATATTCGTTCGTGTGTGTGCGTGATCGATTGGAATCTTCGGAGAAGAGTTCCGTTTATTTTCGTTTGGAAGGAAGTGTCACGATGTGGTCCTACACTAATTACGTAAGTGTGCATTTTGCTCAGTCGTTAGTAAGTGTGTCGCACGCTGACCCTCGACAGACATGCTTGCGCTGAGAGGGTCTATGTCCCCCAGGGTACTGCCGGAACGTACCCTGGTACAATCTAATATGCCGGACCGTACCTTGCCTACTCCACTAACGAGTCTAGGGAGTCGCTTACGCCTACTCTCTAACCCTAACCCTAACCCTAACCCTAACCATATCAGATAGTTACCAGGGTCTCCAGGGAACGTTCCGGCAGTACCCGGGGGGGGGGGACATAGACCCTATGAGCCATGCTTGCAGCAGATGATGCAACACGTGCTGGTACTTGCAGCAAAACCCCCATCAGTGGGGTGCGCTGCTGGAAGGATTTACAACTTGTGAAAGGCAGATCAGCAGGATAAGTGTCTGATGTAATGTTGCGCGCGGATGAAGCCATGATATGTGCAGCTGTGTGCATGCGCATATGATGATGTAGCTATACTGGTATAGCCCCTTTGCCCCCTGTAGCGCGAGCGAACGCTGGTAGAGCTACGTACGATAATGGTAGGAGATGAAGTCATGTTGAGTGTGCTGAGCTGCTTTAAATGAGTGTACATTCCCGACTGCATAAATTCATGTTCTCCGGTTGCATGCCACTGCAGAGTGAGTAGTTTATGCATCACCATTCAGTGGCTCTTTATCTCAGCAAGCGGCTATTATATGTTTTCCAGTGAGTGTGCAACAAATATTTCCCCGCTAGTGGGTACTTCCCCCAGTAGATGTGGGGTACCGGTACTTCCCCTAGTAGATGAGGGGGTACTTCCCCCAGTAGATGTGGGGTACCGGTACTTCCCCCAGTAGATGTGGGGTACCGGTACTTCCCCCAGTAGATGTGGGGTACCGGTACTTCCCCATCTGGGGGTAATTCCTCCAGTAGGTGTGGGGTACTTCCCCAGTAGATGAGTGGGTTTGTTTGCACTCGAATCATGTGTTAATGCGTGGTCGCGTGATCGGCGCCACCGCTCGCAGCGATGATGAAACGTCGCGTGTAGTACATGTACGGAGACGAGTCTTCACACTGATACTCACTCTGTCCGCGTGTAACGCACACACAGCAGCTTAGCGGGATTTCACGCATTCGTCTGCGCCGCTAAGCTCACGTCACCTTTTGCGTACGGCAGCGCGCAGATATAGACTGTATACACGCGATCAGTAACCGGTTGCTTGTGCTCGTTGCCTAGGTAGCGCAGACGAGTGAGGAGAACAACATGATGGTAATGGCCCAGGAGAAGGACGACGTTGACTTTGGTGCGACCATGGTACTGCTGGCTGAGAATCATGATGGTGAGTAACCTTCTCCAAATACGTGCGCGGTCCGTAGTGTGCGTCCCTCTCCTGCATATCTTGTCTGTATGAGCCTCGGCTCTACATGCCTCACCTCTGGATGTGCCTCAGACCTGTGTGCCTCGCCTGTATGTGCGCCACCTGTGTACATGCCTCACCTATATGAGCCTCTCATCTACGTGCCTCACCTGTGTGCATGTCTACCTGTATGAGCCTCTCGTTTACGTGCCTCACCTGTGCATGTCTACCTGTATGTCTCTCACCTGTATGAGCTCTTCGTTTACGTGCCTCACCTGTGCATGTCTACCTGTATGTCTTTCATCTATATGAGCCTCTCGTTTACGTGCCTCACCTGTGCATGTCTACCTGTATGTCTCTCATCTATATGAGCCTCTCATCTACGTGTCTCACCTGTGTATGTCTACCTGTATGTCTCTCACCTGTATGAGCCTCTCGTTTACGTGCCTCACCTGTGCATGTCTACCTGTATGTCTCTCACCTGTATGAGCCTCTCTTTTACGAGCCTCACCTGTGCATGTCTACCTGTATGTCTCTCATCTATATGAGCCTCTCGTCTACGTGTCTCACCTGTGCATGTCTACCTGTATGTCTCTCACCTGTATGTCTCTCACCTGTATGTGTCTCTCACCTGTATGTGCGGCTGCTGTTGTTACGAGCCTGCGTGGCTGACGCAGCATCCATGGATACACACACAGGTTGCAGCTGTGTCGTCATCGTGTCTGCAATGCAACGCTGCAGCAGGGGATGGGAATCAATACAGGATACAAGATACAAGATACAAGATACAAGGAGTGGAGGGGGTTGGGGTATTCAGTAGCTACATGCGCACGTTACACCCACAGGCACTTGGAACGTCTCAGTCCAAAAAAAAGAAGGTAAATTAACACGAAATGTATTTACTACCAAAGTTTTAATGTTTCTCTACTCTATGTCGCCTATTATTGCCGATAATTACCCGTAAATGCCGGTCAAATGCTTATCTGCAACACACAAGTACACCGCACGCCCGCCCTGTGCACAAACAACATTACTTTCTTTTTTCATTGAGACGTTCCAAGTGCCTGTGGTTACACCGGTGCACTGCGATGCTGCTTATGCCACGGTGTGTCTGTCGCGAAGCATGGCGCAGTAGGATGTAAGCGTGCAAATTGTGTGTTGAAGCTAGTTGATAATAAATTACACCAGAACAAAGAGACAGTAGTGTGCTTCAATGTATTGCCCACGTGTGTGCGTGTGCGTGTGCATGTGAGTGTGCATTGTGGTGTGTGTGTGTGTGTGGTGTGTGTGTGTGTGTGTGTGTGTGTGTGTGTGTGTGTGTGTGTGTGGTGTGTGTGTGTGTGTGTGTGTGTGTGTGTGTGTGTGTGTGTGTGTGTGTGTGTGTGTGTGTGTGTTGTGTGTGTGTGTGTTGTGTGTGTGTGTGTGTGTGTGTGTGTGTGTGTGTGTTTTTGTGTGTGTGTGTGTGTGTTGTGTGTGGGTGTGTGTGTGTGTGTGTGTGTGTGTGTGCGGCTGCCGTGGGTGTGTGCGTGTGCGTGTGCGTGTGCGTGTGTGTGTGTGCGTGTGTGTGTGGTGTGTGTGTGCGTGTTGTGTGTGTGTGTCGTTGGTGTGCGCGGCGCGGCGCGTGTGTGTGTGTGTGGTGTGTGTGGTGTGTGTGCGCCGTGTGTGTGTGTGCGTGTGGCGTGTGCGTGTGCGCGTGCGCGTGCGCGTTCGGTGTGCGTGCGTGCGTGCGTGGCGTGCGTGCGTGTGTGTGTGTGTGTGTGTGCGCACACGCGTGCGTGCGTGCGTGCATGTGTGTGTGCGTTCGTGCGTGTGTGTGTGCACGTGCACATGAGTGAGCGTGAGTGTGGGCAATTTCGCCAAGGCTATCCACATGATAAATGTGATATTTAATTTATATACTGCCAATATTGTGTGCCTAGAGGCCTATGCACCTGAGCTTACAGTGTTTACACGTCTGTTGTGCGTGTGTATGTGATGTGTGCGTGGTACATGGGTGCATGCTGTGTGCGTAATGTATGGGTGCGTACTGTGTGCGTGCGCGCTCGCGTGTGGAGGGAATGGGGATGTGGTATTTAATAAATTGGGGGGGTTCTCCAAGCTTTTTCATTATAGCATGGCGGGGCAGCCTTTACGGTCCTAGTTTTAGCATTTTTGAGCTAATTTTAGCATGGCGGCTATGATATTTAGAGTGGCGGGTGCATTTTAGGATGGCGGGGCTCGACGATAGACTGGCGGGCCGCCAGGCTATATAAGTGCTCTTGGAAAACCCTGGAACGGTGTTATAGGGTTTCTTCTGAGGGAAAATTAGACAAAGGAGGTAATGGCCAGTTTGGGGGAAAAACGCGCATGATGGATTCAAATACAGTCCCGATATACTTATAGGTATATATATAGATACAGGATATACTTATTGGTAAATACAGGAACAATTTCAAAACGGCGATGTTAAATTTGACAATGGCGGTGCGCCACTGTGCCTTTTATGTATAAGAAACCCTGTAAAAGTGGTGTTGGAGAGCGGTTGGTGGCATGCGCTCACGTTTAGTTATATAATAATAACGTGCTGTTGTGCTGAAATTACTCCCCCTTCCCTCGCTGCATCCTGTGTGCAGCTGTTATTGATTTGATGAGGCTTCATAACTCTAATATAGACTTGATATGTGCGCATTAGATTCATCTATTTTCTCAGGATGAGCAAGGATGAGCAGGATGAGAGGATAGAGGGTAGAGGGTGAGGGTAATCGTCATGTGCAGAAAAATATTACGTGGCGTACGTAGTTTGCTGTGAGAAGAGCCGTTCCCGGTGCATTCACTAGTGAAAGACGTGCGTGCGCGTGCGCGTGCGCGTGCGCGTGTGCGTGTGCGTGTGTGTGTGTGTGGTGTATGCGGTCATCTTTTGCAAAGCCAACTTTCTAATGTTGCAGAGTGCACAGTGCTGAAAGATCGCACAAACAGCATGTGTCGCACCGACAGGCCGAAGCGTCGACGCCATCGCAAGAAGAACACGAGCTTCGTCAACAGCAAGTTTGAAGGTGCGTCGTCGTGCAGATCAGATCACAGACGTGTTGTGTGTGTGCGCGTCTGCGTGTGTGTGCGCACAGACGTGTTGTGTGTGTGCGCGTCTGCGTGTGCGTGCGCACAGACGTGTTGTGTGTGTGCGCGTCAGCGTGTGTGCGCGTCAGCGTGTGCGTGTGTTGGCAGATGGCAGGTTAGAAATGGTGGGCGGCTTTTCCCCCTCTCTGTTGTTGCAACGACAAGAAACCTGTACTGTGCGCGTGCTCGATCGGAATAGTCTACTGTCAGTTGGGGTTGAGTGGGGTTGGTTAGTTTTCTCGGCGTGTATGCGGGAACCTAGACAGCTCCCCTAGGTGTCAGTGTGCTAGCTGCCATGCTAAAAACACAACTCGTCTTCAGCCACACGACCGAGTATTTTGGGGAAGGGCAGGCCCGTCTTCGATATCTTTATGTAGTCGATGCGACGACGCATTCACGCATTCATGCATGCATGTGCGCGGGGTAATGCAAAAACTCCAATCCGCCCGATTTCGGCTGGGGCGATATCGGGTTATGGCGTGCAGGAAAATGTTGTTTAAAGGTGGCGGGCCGACTGTTATGACGTCACAGTGCTTTTTGGGTGTACACAGCCCCCACCCCCAGGCAAGCACGTGGCTGGGCCCACTGTCTACCGCGCGCGCGAACGATACCGATATACCCCCGAGGCGTAGTGCGAACCTCGTGATCGGGAGTGGCGGGGTAACGTGGCGGCCATCGGCGTATGTCAGCAATGCTCGCGTGTTATTGCATCAGCAACTCGCGCGCAGTTTATCTAGACTGGCGCTTCAGATTTCGTCAGCCGTGTCGGGCACACATCCGTATCAGAAGGAATGTGCTCGCTGTGCATTAGTTATGTTGGAAGGATGACATCCCAGCTCAGTGGAGTTAATGTTTGTAAATATAATAGTGAGGGAAGGGGGATGCGTGTACTGAATGACGCATGATTTGATAAGGAGAGGAGTGGGACGCGTTATCGGTTATCGTTGCACTATCGCAGCATCGTGTGTTTAGAACGTTGGATTGGTTCAGGTTGTAACAGAAGCCGGTTATATCATTAGTATGTGCGGCGGCCATGTACATATATAATAGGGCTGTAACGATACACAAGTCTCTCGATTCGATCCGGTTCTCGATATTAGCCTCTCGATTCGATTCCTTCGATTCGATTCCCAAAATATTGAAATGTTATCTTATTTTTTATATTTTTATTATTTTGCAATAATAAATTATTAGAAATTGCCAATGAATACTAAATGGTGAATAGACTAGAGAGTCTAGAGAGTATATATAGTTATATACACTGCACAGTAGCTGAGTAACATTGGTGAGTAACACCAGAGCATATAAATCACCATTACTCACCAGTGATTTATATGCTCTGGTAACACTCCACAGTATATAGCGTAGTGCCGCCATCTATTGGAGGAAAAAAGTGGTATCGAAGTGGAATCGAAAATACGGTGAAAAATATCGATGATCAGATCGAGGGAAGAAAATCTCGATCCGATTCGATTTCGGTGGGTCGTTACAGCCCTAATATATAATATGAGATACTAACCTAGCAAAAATTGTATTTACGGCGACTAGGAAGAGGTTGGTCGTAAAATTTCAGGGACGTCTAGGGTTTGTGATATCTACTCGAGAATTACAGTTTCATTGCCTTACACGGCAGCGCAAACAAAATGACGACAGTCGTCATATGTATGCTTTGTCATAAGACCTGTTTAGCCTCGTATAGGAGCCGATTTATTTGTTGTTAGTGCTAGAGGTCCGCGCAGCTCTCGCGTTCTTTAACGCATTTATGGCCTAGATCAGCGAGTGTGAGTGCTGTTCCAGCTTCTCGATCCCATTGCTCCGGCATCAGGCGGTTTTTCTCTTACGTATTGCAGATCTGTACAGCCTGACTGGAGAGTTGCTGGGGATCGGAGCGTATGGGTCTGTCCAGACCTGTGTGAATGGACTCACTGACATTGAGTATGCAGTCAAGGTAGGCGCAGGCGCGCGCTCTTCGAGATTACGTATGCACGTTTTAACACGGCCCGACCAGCTTGACTGGCTCTGTTTCTCTTCTTTCTGACTCCTAGTCTCTGCACTGCTGTCTCGCCTCTGTATGTACGCTGCTGTCTCACAGCTGCCTGTTTATACACTGTTGCTTCCTGCTCCTTTACCGCTGTCTTGTTCCCTGCTTCCATATTGCTGTTTTGGTTCCTGTCTTGGTTTTGCTTCGTTCCCTGTCTCTACACTGTTGATTTCCTCTCCGTCTCGTTTTTATCTTGCACCATGCTTCGTCCTTGTCTCACGTCACGTGCATAACCCCCTCTTGGCCTCGTCTCACACTGTGTCTATTCCTGTCTCAGTCTTGTCTCATGCCATGTTCATACCCCTGTCTCGTCCTTGTCTCACGCCACCTATGGACCCCCATCTCGGCCTCATCTCACCCCGCATGTCTCCGCTGAGTCGCACACTGACGCTAATGCCGCCGCACGTCTCACGCCACGGTAAAAAATACACGGGAGCGATGAGCGATTCAAACCTCCGAAATCGCTCCCGCGAGGCTCAAAATAGCTGCCGTGAAATTTTTGCCGAGAGAGATTTTTTACACAGACCTTTGAAAAAGAGCTCCCGTGAAAAAAAAGACATTTAAAAAAAAAAATTCTGGTCTTTTCCCGTCCGCCGCAGGTGATTGAGAAGGCGCCCGGTCTGCCGCGCGCGCAGGTGTTCAAGGAGATCGAGGCGTTCCACCACTGCAATGGCCACGAGAACCTGCTGCAGCTGCTCGAGTTCTACGAGGAAGACGACGCGTTCTACCTGGTCATGGAGAAGATGCACGGTGGTGAGTGACGCCGGGAGGGAGAGGAGGAGGAGGAGGAGGAGGTGTGAAGGTGGGGAGGAGGCGTTGGGGCAGGGAAGCTTTGGGGATGGGGGAGGAGGCATTGGAGCAGGGAGGAGGGGTGGAGGTGGGCGAGGAGATGTGAGGGCAAGCGAGGAGGCATTGGGGATGGGGGAGGAGGAGGTGAGAGGGTGGGGAAGAGGCTTTGTGTCAGGGAAGCTTCGGGGATGGGGAGGAGGGGTCAAGGCAGAGGAGGAGATGTGAGGGCAGGGGAGGAGGCGTGGGGAATAGGCAGGGGGAGGCATGGGGAAAGGGGGGTGTACAGAGGCAGGGAGAAGGAATGAGAGATGAGGGCAAAGACGTAGTGAGTGGCGGGGCTTGCCGGAGACGAGCATGGGTGGGTGGAGAGCGTGGGGCAGGTTATGGCACCCTTAGACGTGCATACATGCTAGGCCAGTCAACCGAGCCAAAATTCTGCGGTGTTTATGGGAGCCGCTGACTCGAGCGACGGCGCGTGCAGCTGTCACTGCTATAATTAGTTACTATTGACCTGCGTTCTACTGACTATGTTCAGCAAACCTGTGACGCTAAATGGATCATGGTGCGTAACGTTATCAGCAACGCGTTAAGGTAATGCGTCGGCGACGCGTTCGGGTCGTTGGTGACGGGTTCAAAGGTTTTACCGAAAGGTTTATATTCGTTTCAGGTCCTTTGCTCGACCACATCCAGGAAAGAGGTCACTTTACGGAACGCGAAGCTAGTCTCGTCGTTAAGGACATCGCCAGCGCGCTCAAGTTTCTGCATGATAAAGGTAGAACACGACTCGAGGCATTTGTTGTTTCGGTGACGGTCGCTGACGTAAAAAGATCTAGACGGTTTCTTAGTGCGGTTGCGTAGATTTTTGCACCTGGTTGTGTCAGTGCGGTAACGAAGCGGTGGCGGATGGTGATCGATGGTAGACATCTGGTAGACGTGTGAATTAAAAATAGAAGGCTGCTTTGCTTTTCCCGAAGAGAAGCATGCGTAGGAAGTTTTTTGGTAAACGATTCGTACTTCTTCTCTGCGTGCGTCCGTTCACGCGCGTCCGCGCCTTTGCTCCCCGCGTTTTCGCAGGCATTGCTCACCGAGATCTGAAGCCTGAGAACATCCTGTGCGTGAACAACGATCGAATCTCTCCCGTGAAGATTGGCGACTTCGGACTCGTCAGCGGTCTGGAGGTGGCGATGAGCAGCCTTGGGTCCCCGTCGCAGTGCAAGACCCCGTGCCCGACGCCCGAGCTGATATCGCCGGTACGGTCCTCTCACAAACCACCGAGAATGATCGCGCGCGGTTGCTGCAGTCGGGGGGAGAGAACAACGCGAGTGTTGCGCGCGAGGTCGTGTTTAGGACTGAACGATCGTCGCGGAAATAATCGGTAGCTGCTGCCACCTGGCGTTGGCTCGGTAGCTGCTGCCACCTTGTGTTGGCGCTCTTCTAACGGTACGATCACCTGCAGGTTGGCTCGCCCGAGTTCATGGCTCCCGAGGTGGTGGAAGCATTCATTGGAGAGGCGACTACGTACGACAAGCGTTGTGATATGTGGAGTCTCGGAGTCATCATGTAAGCATGCGCGCGCGCGCTTTAAACGCCTGCTTCGCATCCTGGTGTGTGGCCCCCGCGGCTTGAGCACCGATTCTGCAAGATCGATGATTAGCTAGGACGCTTTGATAAATGATTGACGCGATTAAATGGTGGGTAGATGGATGGATCGATAAGAATAGTAGATACAGCAATGTAGTTTCTAGTGCCAGGTGCTACTTTTCAAAGCAGGAAGTCTCTGAGACTGACTCTCTGTTCGGTGTGTGCGCCGTGTGCACGTTGGTTTTTTAGCTCATCTGACATAGTCAGATGCAGCTTGTAGAATCGCTTGATCGTCCGTGCGTCCGTCCGTGCGTCCGTCCGTGCGTCCGTCCGTGC